GAGAGGTAGGGTGGGGAGCTTAGGGTGTTAAGGGAAGTAGCCCCAAACATAAAGAGCCTTTGCACAACAGGGCTAAGGAATGTGGAAGTAGAACTTTTATCCTGAAGACAATAGGGATCTACTGAGAGATTTTAGCAAGGAATGATGGTATAGAAAGCCCACTTGGGCTCATTATGGAGAATGGGCCAGAGAAGTGGGGTCTAACACCAGTGAGAAGGCTTTTGCAGTAATGTAGGCAACAAAGATGATGCTGGCCTAAACTAAGGAAATGGTGGCAGGCATGGAAAGAATGGAATAGAAATACCAAGAGGGGCGCCTGGGTGGCTCAGTCGGTTAAGCGTCCGACTTCAGCTCAGGTCATGATCTCACAGTTTGTGGTTCAAGCCCTGCATCGGGCTCTGTGCTGACTGCTCAGAGCCTGGAGCCTGCTTCAGATTCTGTGTCCCCCTCTCTCTCTGCCCCTCCCCTGCTCATGCTCTGTCTCTCTGTCTCACAAAGAAAGAAAGAAAGAAAGAAAGAAAGAAAGAAAGAAAGAAAGAAAGAAAGGAAGGAAGAAATACCAAGAAACAACAGAATTTGGCAATTCATTGGATGGAGGCATGAGAAAGAGAGATGTGGAGGAGGGCTGCCAGGTTCTGGCTTGATTCACTGGATGAAACAAGACCCAATTGCCCAAGGTAGGGGCCATAGGGAGGCAGCAGGTTTTGGTGTAGAGAAATAAAATGCCAAATTTGATTTAGGACCTATAAAGATAAGATTACCTGTGGGACTTCCAAATAGAGATGCCCAGGAGGCAGTTGAAATTTCAGGTCTGGAGCCCAGGAGATAAAGATCTGGGCCAGAGATTAAAATCTGGGAGTAATCAGGGTATAGGTGATAGTTGAAGCCAGAGGAGTAGATGCAATCCCCTAGGAAGGGTAAACAAGAGATAAGAGAACTGAGGTTAGGTCTCTTGGGAACTATGGGCTCAGGAAGGAGACTGAGAGAGAACGGCCATGTGGTGAAATCGTGGCGAAGGGGGACATGGCGAGGACTTCTCTTACATACCCAGCCTACTATGACATAAAGTGGAGATGAGAGGCAAGTAAGGGATGATTCAGGAAGTGAAAGCGTCACACAGATTAGGAAAAACATCCCTACTGACTAGTGAATAGTATTTGTTATTTTCATCATACCAATTACCATGGGTTTTAAGCTCATTAAAAAAAATTTTTTTTTAATCTTGAATTCAGGGGCACCTGGCTGGCCAGTAGGAAAAGCATGCAACTCTTGATCTTGGGGTGGTTGAGTTCAAGCCCCACGTTGGGTATGGAGATTTCTTTAAAAAATAAAAATAAATAATAAATAATAAAATCTTGAATTCTTTGTGTTGAGTGGATTGTTTCTAAGATGGACACAACAACCCGTTTCACTCCATGTAACCTTTTCCAGTGTGACTTTGCCATTCCTGCATTAATAGCCCCCTTGAATGGGGGCTGGCTCTGTGACTCACTATGACCAACAAAAATCGGGGGTGGTATGGTAGGACTTGGTGCCTAGGTCTTTTTATTTTTTGTAATAATTTTTTAAAACATTTATTTATTTATTTTGAGAGAGAGAGAGAGAGAGAGAGAGCGCGCAAGTGAGCGCATGGGAGGGGCAGAGAAAGGGGGAGAGAGAATCCCAAGCAGGCTCCACAGTGCAAAGCCTAACCTGGGGCTTGATCTCAAGAACCATGAGATGACGACCGGAGCTGAAATCAAGAATCTAACGCTTAACTGACTGAGCCACCCAGGTACCACTTGTGCCTAGGTCTTAAGAAGACTTGGGAGTTTCCATTTTCACCCTCTTAGAAACCAGCCATTTGGCAGAGGCATTTGGGCTGAACTACTGAAAAATGAGAGAACATTTGAATGGAGGAGGTGGAAACCAAGGCACCCCAACTGACAGCCAGGCCCAAGACTCCAGATGCATGAGCAGACCCACCCAGGGCCCTCCAGCACCAGTCACACAGGCCCAGGTGACCCAGCCTGGAGCAGAGAGGAGTTCTCCTCGAATTCCTGACCCACAGAATTAGGAATGATAAATGAAAGGGCAACCCACGTAGCGTTTCCTGCCTCCCCTCCACCAGGTAGGCACTACCCCGCCCCCCAATTCTGCATACAGGACTGTCCCTGGGTTTGGGTGGGTTTGCTATGCCACAAGAAATAACTGAAACAGCGGGTGTGTGATTGTATCAGCTCTGGAGTGACAGTCAGTTTTCAAAATATTCATCTTATAAAAAAAAAAAAAAAAATCTCAAGCAGCTGGGAGAAAACCCCAGAAAGGAGGACTAGAAGAACCGATGAAGTAGGAAAGGAAGAACAATTAGAGTAAGAAATAACTTGGGAAAATGGGAAGTATGTAGATCTGGAAGAAAAATAAACCCCCGACCTTCCAAGCACTGTACTGAGCACTCTGCACTGGAAATGAACATGTAACAGGAAGGAAGGGAGTTCACTTTGATGGAGGGCCTGCTATGTACCAGTTGCTGCCTGGTTCATTGAGAATATGGGGGACTTGATTTGACCCACTATATAAAGTCCATGGTATAGCATAGCACGTTATGTTAGAATTTTTTGTACACAATTAAATTTTTTCCCACTTTCCATTCTGCTCTTTTTTTATCTTCCCAAGAGGTATGAAGCTAGTTACGCGGTTAAGTGACTCTGCAAGGTTCCAACTAGCAGTAAACTATAATTGTTAAACATTTTGATTTTTACAAAGTGAAAATAGGCTTACTGCCTTTTTTTAAAAACAAAAGTAGTACATGCTGATCATACACAGGAAAAAGAAATACAAAAAGGAATAAAAGATGAAAATCTCCTGTAATTCCACTCCCCAGAATTAACATTATTAATGTATATATTTTTTTTCAGACTCTTTTTCTCTGCCCTGCCCTCTCACTTTCCCCTCTCTCTACAGAGTAAAATGTGCTATTTTGTAACCTGATTTTTTAAAAATTTTATCATGGACATCTCTCTGTGCATCGCTAATTATCAAGGTAGAATTCTTACAGCTTACATAAAAGTCTGAGCCTCCATTTTCTCTGGATAGTGCAGTCACTAACTTACCTTTTCAGACTTCAGAATCTTGGTAATCTTGGTTAATGTCATGGGTATGAAGAGAGGGGTGTTCCTTTTCAAAGGCCAAACATCTTCCAGCTTCTTTGTGAATTATAACTGAGATCATGACACAAACCTGCAGAAAGGTAAGTGACCAAGGAAAGCTATAGTTAACGGTCCCTCTGTCCAACAAGCGGCATGCATCTTTAACTGAAATCTTCTGAATGTTGAGAAGATCTTCTAGAATAACAGAAGGGTCATAAATGGTCTCCCTTGGAGTTCTTCAGCCCTCACTCCCATCAAGCCTGGCTATGCAATGGAGTACAATCTTCTCAGGAAATCCTTTGTTTCACCCCTGAAGACAAACATATAGGCCACTTTGGTTTTACGTGCTATGTTGCTGACAAAAAAAAAAAAAAAAAAAAAAAAGACATAAAACAAATATAGGGGGTGACCCAAACCAACCAAAAACAGCCTGGGGATGTGATGGCTTCCAAAGTTTGACACGGTCCTTTTACAGTTTAGTAAAGCCTATGAGTTCCTTCTCAGAATGATATTTTCAAGTTCATAGATGAAATTTGTAAAATTACAAAGGAAACTATTATATTGATAGTTAGCAAAGTATCAAAAAATAAAGTTGAAATTTAGCAATATAGTGCCCTTTTCTGAACATATTCAACAACAGGATCTAGTGTGGGTCTAATACCTAAAGTACTGGAGTCAAGAAGAGCTGGAACAAGATTTCGAGATGTGCAACAGTTGCAACTCAGTATGCGAATATCTGTGATTTCTATTAGTCACAAAGTCACAGGTCCTGCTGATGCTACTGTGGGTTTGTTTCCTTTAGTTAGGGTGGAGATAATGCTAAGTTCCCAGACTCCTGAATTCTACCCACAAATGCTTTGGGGATCTGGGGAACCCCAGATTAAGCAACCCCTGCTTGGCTTGCTTTTAAGAAGGAAAATGGAACCTGGTAGACTTTGCTCAAGGGAGGGACCCACTAATATCTCCACCTACTTCACACTCGGTGAGATCGGGCTGCCCCTCTTAGCTCAAAGCTTCAGTGCAGCAGGAGGGGGATCAAGGCTGCACAGCAGGGAGTGCTTCTTGGTCTCAGTGGCCGTTTACATCCCTGAGGAGACTGGGAGGCTTCACCTCCACTCCACTTTCTTTTGGCTCTGAAATGAGCTCTTCCTGGGTGGTTTCCTTTTGGACTGAGGGAAAATGGGCATGGGGAGAAGGGGGCTATAAATAAAGTATGACCTTGAGATGCAGTGGCAGAGTCTGAAAATCTGTTTGCCCTGGGCTCTTCTGATACTCTTGGGCTAGTCCCTTTCACCTGCCAAGCCTCAGTTTCTTCAACTGTAACAGGGGAGGTACGTAACAACTATGCCCAAGGAAATCAGGGGTGTTGGGAAGAGTTTAGATGAGACAATCTATGTGAAAATGTTTGGTAAAGACTGAAGCAGTGCTAATGTGCACAGAACCCACTGGCGATCTTGCCAAAGGCAGATTCTGATTCAGTGGGCCTGGGGTGGTCCCCAAGATTCCAAATCTCTAACCGTGTCCCGGGTGACGCCTAAGCTGCCAGTCTGAAGATCACATTCTGAGTAGCCAGTACTCTACAAATGTTCATTGTTACTATTTATTGTCACTGTAATATTCCACCCAACCCTCAAGGGGAATGACAGCTGAAGACAGGGAGGGAGACAGAGCTCACCAAGTGAGGCCAGGCTTCTGCTCAGCAGGACACTCTGATCTCACAGCTCTGCCTCTTCCCCGCCTCCTGCGACCAGCCATGGCAGAGACCGGCCACGGCCAAGTCAAACCACATTTCAGACCAAATCAGCACCACCTAACCAAACATGGGAAGAAGGAGCAAATACCGAAGAGGACATTTGAACAAAAAAGGAAGTGTATGTACAAAATAGTTTTTATTTGTCACGCTAAACATCTCCCAAACCTCTCAGAGAATACATATATATATTGCATCTTTGGGTTTTGCAAATCAGATCCGTTCCTGCACAATTCTTCTAAAGCAGCCCCTTTCTCACGGTGCCCACAGGTGAAGAGTTTTCGCCAGCTCCCTATGACCTACTGCATCTACCTGAGCTCTGCCTTTGCATGTCTAAGAATGGTCAATGTCAGAAGGGAGAAAATGGTGCAGGTGAGAATACAGAAGATGGAACTCTGGGGCACTGCTGGAGGGAGTCTCAACTGGTACCACCACCACTCAGGAAGGTCATCTGGCAGTTGTTGAGCTCCAGCATGCGCATGCCTTATGATCTGTGGGAAAATGCTAGAATACATATATTCGTAGGAAATTCTCCCGCAGACTCAAGGATGTTTACAGGGTAGCTGAATGTTGGAAGCAGTTTAGATGCTCATCATAGAGAAGGGGGTGAGTGAAATATGGCAGATGTGCGCTGTTGAAAACTAAATCCAGAAGTGTCAACCGGATGCACATTAACAACGCTGATGGATCTTAAAACCTAGCATTAAGGGAAAAAATATAGGAAACAGAACACGGTATCATCAGAGCACATTATCCTTTCTGTAAAGACACATTGGCATAAAAATAATACACCTTTTGTAAGAAGGCACGCATGCCCATATAAAGATATATTAAACATATTAGAGTGGGTGCTACGGGAGCAAAGAAAAATAGAATCAGGGTTTGGAACTAAAAAGAAAAAATAGGGAAGAATCTTGCGTAGGTTAATGGCGAATTGCTTAAAAATTGAGTTTTTGAAAATTTCTTCACCTGGGGTAAAGACCAAAAAGATAAAAGCACACGGGGGGCCTGGGTGGCTCAGTCGGTTAAGCGTCCGACTTCGGCTCAGGTCACGATCTCACGGTCCGTGAGTTCGAGCCCCACGTCGGGCTCTGTGCTGAGAGCTCGGAGCCTCAAGCCTGCTTCAGATTCTGTGTGTCCCTCTCTCCCTGACCCTCCCCCATTCATGCTCTCTCTCTCTTTGTCTCAAAAATAAATAAATAAACATTAAAAAAATTAAAAATAAAGATAAAAGCACACAAACCCCCCTAAAACTCTCCTCTACCACATGTATAAAGGCTTTACAATCCAGCCCCACACGACCTAACCCAAAATTAGCTCCCCATTTCAGGTGCCGTGTTCTTCACTGTTACCTCACAACAGATCACAACATACCCTCTTTGCCGTCATCTTGGCTGCAGTCAAATTCTTTTCATCAAAGCTTCTTGCTACATTCACCTTCAAGCGGTGCCTAGCAGGCAGGGTCTGGGCCCCAAAGTGATGTGGCCAACTTTAGCCAAAGATGTGTCAGGGTACGTTAAGTCAGGGGGTTTGCTTTCCTGAGGCTTGGTGACACCACTGATTTGACAGAGAACCTTAGGAAGTCATTTATTTTATTTTTTATTTTATTTACTTACTTTTAAGTAGGTTCCGTGCCTACTTGGGGCTGGAACTCACAACCCTGAGATAAAGAGTCAGATGCTCCCCTGACTGAGCCAGCCAGGTGCCCCGATTTTATTTTTATTTTATTTTTTTTTTAAGTAAGGAAGTCATTTAATCGTGTATCTTTCTCCTGCATACATATCACACAGCACAGTTATCTATAATTCAAACATCTCTGTTTTCCATTAGACTATAAACTCAGGGAGGGTCGGAACTTTATTTGCCTGTGTCCACTGCCCAGAAGTGATCACATAAGGGGCACCTCCCTAATAAGCTCTGAGAAATGGCTTCCCTGGGCCCCTAAGCCAAAAGATGGAGCAATCTGGCCTCTAATTAGCTTCCGCACCTAATTCAAAACTGTAATTGTTAATAGTTTGTATTACGCTTCGTATTATTGTTCTAGAATAAGCCACAGATTTAGTACACGATAAGGAGAGTGTTGCTCAAGTTCTTGTGTCCTGAGGCATTAAAGTACCATCTCTACTTTGCTATCCTTCAAGAAACTGTGGAATGGATGCTCCAGAAATGCACTGGATAAAACTAAAACAGAGTTTGAATACCGTTAAGACGAACTGCCGGAGTCCTATGGTTTGGGATGGAAATCCAAATCGCTTGAAACTGCGGGTGAAAGCCCATGCAGGCAAGGAGTGGGTATTCCTCAGTGGGCCCGTACACCTTTCAGAGAAGTGGAAGCTACTTTCTGCACGTGCAGTCAGCTCCGGGGTGCACACGGCCAGTGGGTCGGAATTTGTCTGGTTGGCGGTTCGCTGGAAAGCCTGCACTTCCGCTTTCGGAGTGGCGGGAACCGGAAGTAGCTGCCGGAACCCACCTCCTAAGCAACAGGTTATTGTTACAGAGCATCATGGGAATCCCCCAACCTACTGCGGACCGCAGTGGGCCTGTCCTGATTGATTCATTCTCCAGGAGGCGGGGTCAGAGCTTCTCGAGAGATTTGAGAGACTGGCCATGATGGCCTTTGGAGGTGGAGCTTGCATACCCTTATGAGCCACGTGGGCCTGAAGCCCAGCACCGCAAGGGCTTGGGCCTCTGGAATAGGCTTGTCTCCTTGTATTGATCACTTTTCTCAAAAAGAGATTAATTTTTTAGGTCTGCTTTTTTCACCACGGCTCCTCTTGTGGTGGGATCCAACACTCATTTTTACGCACGCAACTAAGGGGGGGATGTAAAGGCCATCTCACAGCTGAGGGCAGAGCAATTAGGTAGTGAAGTGGGTTGGTCCAGCGCCTGGTCATGCTCCCATTATCACAGCAGTCCACAGTTCTCAGCTCCAAAAGTCATTGCTGTTTGCTAGGACTTGGGTGGTTAGTTTCTGCTGCCTGTTGCTCCAGGAGAGAATCCAAAGCCTGAGCATATGCAGACTATTTCAACTCAAATTTGGGTATACGGCTGCTGCTAGGGTGGCATTGGTTCTGTGCTACATTCGGCTTTGAAATTCAACATCTGTCCAGTGTCAGCAAGTGAGGCGACTAGGTGCCCACTGCTCTGTGGTCACACAGCCCACCTTTCGAGCATTAGGCTTTGACAATTATTGGGATATGACAACACTAGAGAAGAACTAGGATTAATTGGGAGAGAAAAGTGGAAGGTTGTGAAAGACTGTGGTGCTAAGTGACATAGGTCCTTTTGCACGAGCAAAAATTAGGAAAGATCAGGACCTCAACCTTGGCTGCATGTTAGAATCACCTGGGAGCTCTTTAAAATCCCCAGTTCAGCCGTACTCAAGACGAATTAAGCCAGAGTTTCTGGGGATGACACCCAGACATCAGTAGTTTTAAAAGCTGTCAGGTGATTCCAATGTGTAACCGAGGTTGAGAATCACAGCTCTATATTCAGGGGACTTGGGTCTTGATTCTAATTGAGCCATTAATAGCAAGTGTAGTTTGGGGAAAGTCACATGTCCGCAATCTCTTCAGTTTTCTTACCTATGAAATGCGGGGATCGATTCCAAACGTATTTGACCAAAAGCAACACAATTTTGACCCTCAGGGACCATTTTGTAAAATGGTTTTCTAGGTTTGAAGTTCTAAGAACACAGTCAAGCAGCGATTCAGAGTCAAGTTGAGGTTCAAACTCTGAGGTGCCTTGAAGTATCTGATTTGAATGTCGCGATCCACTTCACGCTCACCCTACAAACTCTTCCAGTGAAAGTCTGGGAAAAGAACCTAGGTAACTTTCTAGGGCTTTCCCTAGTAAGAGGAAATATCTTTCTCCCTCCATGGCACAAGACTTTAAAGAAAGGACAGTGGGTCTGTTTGTCTCACATTGCTACTTAGCTGAAGAATTAGGCGACTACTGAGAAAGGTCTCTAGTGCTCACTCACACTCCCTCTCTTTCTCTTGCCATATCTGGGGATAATTGCTGCCAGGCAAGGACATTTAATATGAATCCACTTAATAAGAGAATCATGGTTTGGTAATGGGGTGGGGGGAGCTTGACTGGAAATTCATACTGAAAAATGAAACTGAGTGATATTAAAACATGCTTTCTTAGGTGTAACAAATCTAGGTTATAACTGAAAATGTGCACTAATTCTCAAAGAATGAATTATACGTTACTTTTCTCAGCATACATTTCCCGACAAAATTATATACTGTAACATCTTTCACTTTACTTGGCTTTTAAAGCACGATCACAGAAGAGGCCAGGTTTGGGGTTTTGTTTGTTGCTTTTGCAATATATTTAAGAGTTTATCAATTTTTCCTAAAGCTTCTCTTTATCCTTTGATATTAAATCGTTTGCTTCTGAAGGGCTTATATGGCACACCTTTCTCAGAGTGGCTTCTCAATTGTCAACTGGTTTAAACATCCCACACCTTTATTTACCGATGTCTTTGCTTGAGATGCAAGCAATTCTCCAATATTATTTTGGCAACTTCATGAAATCCTGCGTCTTTCGCACGTTTGGCAGTTTTACTATATTATATTTCCTAACTTAAAAAAAATTTTTTTTTCAACGTTTATTTATTTTTGGGACAGAGAGAGACAGAGCATGAACGGGGGACTAGCAGAGAGAGAGGGAGACACAGAATCGGAAACAGGCTCCAGGCTCTGAGCCATCAGCCCAGAGCCTGATGCGGGGCTCAAACTCACGGACCGCGAGATCGTGACCTGGCTGAAGTCGGACGCTTAACCGACTGCGCCACCCAGGCGCCCCTAAATAGCAAGAGATTGACTCACACAGACCTACTTGGTAAGACAGGAGTGTTAGCTGAGAAATGTTTTAGTAGGGACCAATGTTATAAGTGATTTGTTTATTAAAAAATATTTTCACTACTCAGTTCCCTAACTTCAAGGAATTGGATAATGGAGACTTGAATAATTATAAATATACATATAAATACTTACCCCATATATCCCCATATATACACAAAAGAGGAAACTGTATACTGTAAAGTATATGCTATTTAAACGATACATAAGTTACATAATCACAATAACATAAGTTATTGTAATTTGGGCCGATATGGAATTAGGCAATGTCACTATTTCTGTACTTAGAGAAGCGGGGATGTTAACCAACTTTTGGTTTCTAAACTCAACAACTTACCTCCCCCTACTCTACCGCTGGCAATTTTCATAGACGTTTAGTAATTTCTGGAAGGAAGCCTTTTTAAATTTTTTTTTAAGTAAGCTTTACACCCAATGTGGAACTTGAACTCACGACCCCAAGGTCAAGAGTCACATGCTCTACCAACTGTGCCTGCCAGGCGCCCCTCTTTCTAGTAATTTCTCTAGCTGTTTAATAACTGTGTCCTGAGAAAGAAACTGCCCGTCTAGTTTTTATGCATTATAATGCTAATAATAATCTCTAACACTTATTGAGCCGAGGCTCCCTTTCGAGCACCTTCCCATATTTGCTCATTCGGTATTTACAGCAGCCCTGTGACTGAGGTGCATAATGCCCCCTCCATTTTGTAAATAAGTTCACGTGCATGCTCTATTTCGGTAACTGGCTGTTGAAACAACTGGGAATATTCCAGAACAGGTCTTCAGAGGTAGAAATCCTTTCTCCTTAATCCAGTCTGAAAAACATTTCCCCGGGCCCTCCACAGAAGATAAGTCCGTCCAGATAAGGTAGAGAGCTTTCTAGCCCACACCATCACAGGGTCCTAGACCTGGCTGGGACCTCCTCTGACCTCAGCTCGGACCCATCTCAGCATCTTGACTGGTGACACTTCCATCCCCTGATTCAATACTTCAGTGTTCGGGTGCTCACAGCAGCTTCAACAGCACTTTGCTTTTCGTTTTCTTTGAAAATAATCATAATTGTTCAAAAGTTTTTCCTTGTGCCAAATGGATGTCTTCCTTCCTGAAGCTCCCATCCCCACTAATCCCAGTTCTGCCACGGTGGGCTTCCTCCCCCAGACAAATAGAATTCCTTTGCTGTGTGGATGCCTCTCATATATTTGAAGCATCTTATCACCTGAACTGTGGTGAGAATCTTCCTCCTGTGTGTACACATCTCAATCATTTTTTTTTTCAGTAGGCTGTAAACTTAGAACCAGAGCTTTTTTCTGGCACTGGGCATCACTTAATAAAGTGACTTAGGACCTATTAAGTAAAAGTTAAACACAGGCCAATAAATGACTTGTAAAAGTGTTTGCAGAATCTCACGATTGGTGAGATCAAGCCCCATCAGGCTCTGCGCTGAGAGCCCAGGGATGGTCTCTCCCTTGGGATTGTCTCTCTCTTTCTCTCTGCGCCTCCCTCCTCTGCCCCACTCATGTGTGCTCTCTCTCTCTCTCACAAAATAAATAAACGTTTTTTAAAAATGGTTCGGGGCACCTGGGTGGCTCAGTCGGTTAAGCGGCCGACTTCGGCTCAGGTCATGATCTCGTGGTCCGTGAGCTCGAGCCCCGCGTTGGGCTCTGTGCTGACGGCTCAGAGCCTGGAGCCTGTTTCGGATTCTGTGTCTCTCTCTCTCTGACCACCCCCCGTTCATGCTCTGTCGTTCTCTGTCTCAAAAATAAATAAACGTTAAAAAAAAAAAAAGGTTCAGATGGTAAATTTTATGTGTATTTTCTCACAATAAAAGATTGGGGAGAAAAAAGGAAAAAAGCATACCATTAAATGCGTTTCAGCGTATATTAATAATCTAATAATGATTAATATTCAAATTACATTAATTATCGAATATATACACATCAATAACAACTAACACACTAATAAACCAATAAGCATAATAATCTAACCACCAATACTATGATCTACAATAATCTGCCAATCTACCAATATTAGTATATCGATATAATTACTATGTATTAATAATTAATATATCCATGCGAAATGATTATTAATAACCTAATTACTAATACTATGATCTAACTTCTATTAAATAAGCACTTTTTAAAACCAAAAGGGGTCGGGGCGCCTGGGTGGCGCAGTCGGTTAAGCGTCCGACTTCAGCCAGGTCACGATCTCGCGGTCCGTGAGTTCGAGCCCCGCGTCAGGCTCTGGGCTGATGGCTCAGAGCCTGGAGCCTGTTTCCGATTCTGTGTCTCCCTCTCTCTCTGCCCCTCCCCCGTTCATGCTCTGTCTCTCTCTGTCCCAAAAATAAATAAACGTTGAAAAAAAAAAATTAAAAAAAAAAAATAAAACCAAAAGGGGTCACCCAGCTGGTCAGTAGGCGTGAGCCCAGGCACGCTGCTTTCTGTGCCTCACCTGCCTCTGCCTCCCCACCTGGCCCGGGGCTGTGGGAGGATGTGGCCACTCCTGAAGGCTGGGACCCAGTGCTCTCGAAAAGCTGGAGATTTGAGTCCTGATGAGAGCAGTAGTTCCCAGGCCTGGGTGCTCACGAACTGCGCCCAGGGAGTTCAAATACGGATCCCTGAGTGTAAAGATCCTGCTTTGGCAGCTCTTGGGTGGGGCCTGGGAGTCATTATTTTCCAAACACTCATCGGATGTTTTGGATCATCCGGCCAAATTTGGCAACCACG